ACATTTTGACCCCTAGATATGAAGTTAAAATGAATTTTACCAATTTTTGTAAACATGACTTTATATGAAGCAAACTTAATTTAAAAAACGTACATGAGAAGAAAAAACCTTCAACTCAACATTCGATGCATTTTCAGTTAAAAACGTGTAGATATATTTCCATTCATATGTTGACCCGATATACCCAAGTGAGCTACAAATAAAAGATAACATTGGATATTTGGATGTTTTACAAGAAAAAGACTTTAAAAAATGCTAATCCAACAACAAAACTTAATGGTAAATGTGATGACTTCAACTTTCCTTCTTACGGATATACCCTCATCACCTCATATGGATTTAACATCTCCCAGGTTAATTTGATATGCATACAAACATTTCTAAAACGAGGCAAGCTATTGACAAACAAGTTGATGAAACAAGAAAATCCCCAATCTCATTTAAAGTGTTACACATAGCAATTACAGACAAACATCATTATCTCATTTTTTTTTTTTTGCATGAGACGATTTTGTACAGTTTATATGTAAAGTTATAATTTCTAATAGGAAGGAGCTCAAAGTCATTTATGTCTCCGGTTTTGTGACCGAGTTAAGGGAGCCGACTGGGTTTCATTGTGTGAAAACTACAATAGAGAAACTCTTTATTTTCATACCATATAACTTACATTAACTTCAGTGTACATACAAAGTTTTGGGAAAATTCTACCGTCCAGGAGCCCGTTTCATCAAAGGTCGTAGATTTAAGCCTTAACTTAGGTGTACTTCCGGGACTTTCGCCAAAATTTAGTCAGGCGTAATTTGCGTTTCACTAAGTGGCGTAAGTCTAGTCGTAAACGATACGCTTAGTCGTAGGACTAAGTCCTTGACAACGTTGCATTGCGCAGGCGCAAAAAATATAAACATTGTCCACTGCATACAAACATGTATATAATTTTAGCCCGTAAAAGAATAGAATAACACAAATTATAGAATAATAAATACTTGCACTGATTGAAACATGCATTGATTTATAGGGTCATGTAGGACACATGTACCTTATAAGAAATCGATTTAAGGTTTTTACAATATTTCAATGGACAAGTCTTATAAATTGAAAGTTAAAAAAGGATCGTAATTGTATATCAGAATTTTATTAAAAGCTAAACTGTTTATTTTGGAATTTTAATTATACACAGCACCCCCCCCCCCTTCCCGAAATTGATACAGGTTAATGACTTCGCGCCTTTGATAATCATTTCATGATTCGATAATTACTGACTCTACTGATAAAATACTAATAAGTTTGAGAAAGAATACGATTTTAAGGAAGGTCCATACTTTTACGGATCCGGTTTTAATTTTACACACCAATATAAAATTCTTATTATCACTTGTCAAAAGAAATAAAATCTTTTTTGATGATTGATAATAATATAGTAAGTATATATTTGTGTACTACAGTGTTATTGTGCATACAAAGCATTTGATAAACATTTGTTATACATTTGTCATGGAAATTAACACTTTGTACTCTGTTCATAGGATCTATATGTCATTAAGTACAAACAAAGACGCATCATTCTTAATTGCCTTTATGGACCTAAACCTTTTTAATTTTTCAAACAAACTAACTAGAGATCTTTTTTCATTTATTTTAAGTATGTATCTCCTTTTTAAATTTTCCTTTTTTAAAATTATGCAAAGAATGATTGAAAAACTTGATATACCAAAATTGGGGGTATACGTGTTCAAAAGGCTGTTTTGTTAAATTTTTCTGGTCAAGATTAATAAAATATATGTTTTTGTGAACCTTAGATATAATTCTTAATAGTTTTAAAGAAAAAATGGCACATAAACAACGTAGATTTTGAGATTTTTAAAAATAAAGAGATTTTGAGATTTTTTTCTGATAGACTTGGACAGATTCAACATCAATTTTTCAATGTTTTTCAGAGAAGATTTCAAGTATTTTCCTGGAATATTAATTATTTTTGATTTTCACAAGATTTAACATGAATTTGATGTGATTTGGTGCATAGCGAACTAAAATATGATATCAGACTTCTTTATGTTCACTTTTTGCTGTTCAATTTTAAGAGGTAGGTGCTCTTAGACATGTTGTATGAAAATTAATCTGCAAAGATATGTCTTTTATGAGTGTTTTAGTTAGTTTATGAGTTATTTAAGAGATTTAAATAAAAAAATTATTAGTTTGACAGAATTTTTTGAAAGTACGGACCAACCTTAAAACATTATTTTCATTAGATATGTATACTGAATTCAAAGCAAAAATAATGTATAAAAAATGCAGTTAACATATGTACACATTTTGAGTCAAGAAATAAGTTTTACACGTTTACTTCTAATGCACATGTAAGATAATCCTTTCTAAGTCTATTAAATTTTTGTCAAACGATTCATTATAGTTTTTTATTGACTATAACATGTAAAATGTCACAAAGGTACATGATATAATTTCGAAATACTAGACTCTAGTACAGTCAGTTATAGACAAAAATTCTTTACTATCTGCAGCTTAAATTTACTGTACCGTTTTACAAGTATGCAGAGAGAGAGAGAGAGAGAGAGAGAGAGAGAGAGATGACTACAAAGATATTCTTACAGAAAGTCTCTGCTTGCGTGGCCTCTCTATTAGAAATTAAGTTACACTTAAGTCTTCATTTTGTTTTTCATTAGAATTTAAGCTATGCAGGAAATAAAAAACATGTATATTGTTCTCTTACATGTGCTTTATATTCACTCAGATTTTCTTATAGTATGTAAAATTTACTCTTTTAGACGAAATCATGAAAAATGAAGATGTCTTCTGCATCAATGTTTGTCTGAGAAAAAAAAATTGAGGAATAAATAATTTCTTGAACTTAACTGTGTAATTATGACCGTCTTACATCGATATGATAAAAGTAATAATATTTTCCCAATTTAAATATTTCTTATTGTCTATGAAACCCCTATCAGCGGGTTTCGTCTTTGATTCTCAGGGACTTCACTTGTCTCAGATACACATTTACCTAGAGGAATAATTACCTTCGCCCCTAACTGAAATATTAACATATTAAATGTTGATAAATCTGCAAATTCGGGAGGTTCTGAACCCTCTCTCCGATCCTTTCGAAATCTACGCTTGTGGACGAGGAGTAGATAAAAATAGACTCTTCGAACCTACCTGGTTTTAAGGTTTATTTTTTCTTTAAGTTAAATGTAGAAAATGACTAGAAAGAGGATGACTATGTTTTTACGACCGATTTTTTTTTTTCAAAAAATATATTTTTGCGATTTTTTTTCTTCTAAAGAGACGATTTTAATGGATCTCCCGCCTCCCATATGAATATAATGGCAGTGTCCATGTTTTGCTATGGTAAACACAAAATATGAGTCGGACCAAAAGTAAAATAAGACACAATGGCACCCCAACGCGTAACAGACGGACGGACATCCCGATTACTATATACCCTCCCGCTTTTAAGGCGGGGATATAAATATATATAGTTATATATTAATCGATTTACAATACCTTATACATACAATAATCAAATGTGTGTGAATGCTTTGTGTAAACGTAAGAAATGGTGGTTGAAGAAATTTCTATTGAGACAATCTTTAATTTTCTTCTGAGAAGATTTAATTAAGTATGTTATTACTCCAATCAACTACGCCCCCAAGTGGTTGTAACCCCCCCCCCCCTCCCCCCGCCTCTTCATAGTATGTATAATTAAATAATACAATGTTTGGATTTAAAAGACTTTTTAGAACCGTTCTTTTTCTTTCTTAAGAATTCGCTTATTTGTTTTCAAATTAGTTAAATTACTTAATTTAAACTTTACGCCCGAACTTACGCCTACCCATGAGAAGACGTAGAATTTTGGCCTAAATTTAGTCAGGTGTAACGATACGCTCTTTAATGAAACGCAACTCTTCGTGCTAGTCCTGACTTTACACCGGCGTAGCGCTACGGCTGGGCGTACGACCTTTGATGAAACGGGCCCCAGGTATTTTTAAGGGACCATCTCAAAATTCGGGTACATTTACTGTAGACTTTATAGGAAAGTCCCAATTTTTCCCACTTTAAAGCAAATTATACAAATACTACAATTACTTTTTGCTCAAACTATAATATATGAGTAAAACTATATTGTACATGCATGTATGTAAGAAACGCAAAATTCTACCGTCTTGTTTACAGAGGAAGCATCTTAAAATGCCAAAAATTTCCCTGTTTTTATATAGAGCACTAGGATATATGACGGATAGAAACGATTTATACAAAAAAAAAAGATGGAGAGATTCTCAAATTTCTATGTTTTATTTATCATAACGTCAAAAACACACTATTATGACATCAGCCTATCCTACCTATCGGTTGAAAAATATTAAAAATCAATTACATAAAATTGTAATTGAATTGTTCAATCTGTAGGTCTAGGAATTCTTAATTTTGTTCAATTCGTTTGTGAAATAAATGCTTTAAAACAGTAAATACGCTTCATGAGCAATGGAAATCCCAGCCGCCTGACTGTCTAGCTGTTCGTCCGTTTGTCTGTCATTTGCGATTTTAAAAAGTTTAACCTTGGTCATAATTCAAAAAAAAAAAAAATAGAAGATAGGGCTATATATCACTGTTCACCCACGGTGACAACTGACAAGACATTTCAGTGTGTAAAATCATTAAGCTGTCCATGATTTTTTTTAATCTGATGTTTTTTTAACACACCCCAATCCCTCTCCCGAAAAATATTAAGAGCGGCATTATTGCAGAACTCTAGCTACATCATAGATCTACCGTATAGATTCTTTTATTTTTATCTGTTTCGCACATGAGTCGATCGCACCTAATAGTACTATTTTGGTTAGCTTCGATGATTTTTGGAAGATTTTCTGCATCTGCCATGCAAAATATAGTTATATGACAGGCGGGGGTTTGCGACGATGCTCAAGACCCAGTGAATCAAATTATCAATTCGTCGAGTGCAAAAAGGTCGAATTCTTCAAATGAATATTGCGTCATAATCCGATTTTATGACAGGCAAGATGGTGCCGCAAAACACAAAGACGAGAAATGAAATAATATGAATGCCATCAGTATTCAAGAGATTTTGGAACAAATAATTGAGTTAGAGAAACGTATTATCATCATGGATGATATTTATACCATTCTTTTAGAAAGGGCCCATGCTTTGGAACAAATTGTGGAAGACTGCATATTGAAAGTAAGTCGGCACACAGTAGATTAACGTTAATGTCTGTGTCTCTCATATAAAAGGGGGATGATTGAAACAGCAAAAAAATTTCAAATGAATGTCAATGCATGATTATATGCTATGAAAAATGAATCTGTCTAAAGTTGAGTTACGATAAAGGACATAAACGGTGTTGGACAGTCATCCCCCCTCCGAACCCCTTTTTTAAATAAAATAAATTTTGTTCGTACCTTTTAGTTTTCGTATGTATACTTAGTTAATGTACGAATCTGCATTAGAATATTATGAAGAACTGACAAAACATTTGGCTTAATTTTGTCTTGTTTATCTGACCTTGACTTAATTGCTGAGTATGTAACATGATAATTTCAGATGACTCTGACCCCCTTCCCCAAAACGAAGTTTATGTCAGAGCCTAGCTATTATGTCATGGCACAGGCTAATGTTTCTCAAATGCAAGTCAAAGCCATTATCAAATAATGCCTAATTAGAATTAAGATTTTCAAAAGTATTTCAAACTAAAGGATCAAGGTCAAAGGGTCAAAATATTAATGGTGCCAAAGAAAAGATATTGTCTTAATGATAAGACATTTGAAATATGAAAGCCCTAACACCAATCATTCAAAAGTTATGTCCAAGGTTATAGTTAAAAAAATATAGTATGCCGTGTGTACTTTAAATAAATCACATCTAGATGGACACAAATGTAGTTCAGACTCCAAGGTCAAGGACAAAGGTTTAAGATTATTACCAATATGAAGGTCTTGTTACTAGAAATATATTTCTGATATATGACAGCACTAGAACCAACAGTTCAGAAGTTACAGACATAATTAAATTGTTCAATGGTAGGTCAAGGTCAAAATTGTCAGGTGACTTGGAAAGGTCTTGCCATTAGAAATACACCTGTAAAAAATAAAGCCAACTATTCAACAGTTATGACCAAGGTTAAAATTTCAAAAGTGGATCACACTCAAAGGTCAAGTTCAGAGTCAAATCTTGATAACATTTAAAAGGAGGCTATGCATTAAACATGAAACCCTTAGCACCAACCACTAAAAAAGTATGGTCAAGATTTAAGTTTTTCAGAAGCGAGTCAAACTCAAAGGTCAAAGTAAAAAGACCTAAGTTGTTAGTACCAGATGGAAGCTCTTGTTGCAAGAAATATACATTTAAAATATAAAAACCATATCACGATTTGCTCAAAAGTTATGATCATAGTTAAAATTTTTCAGAAATGGGTCAAAGTCCAATGTCAAGGTCAAGAGGTTATATGAAATATATTGAGATATTTAACAGTATTCTAGCTCAAATGTCCATTCAAACTGTACAAATCAGGAGTAGAGTAAACACAAACTCCAAAACATAAGTGGTGGGATCAAGTGCCCTAGAGGATTGAGTATCCGCTGCCAACTGGCAAAGTTGAACTTGACGATACCAAAGGAAAGGTCTTGTTGCAAGAAATATACAATTAAATGAATTTTGAAAGCTACATAATGTACAGTGTATGTAGGATACATGTACTTTGAACCCTAATTTTTTTTTGAAAATGTATGTTGACAGACTTGGTTAATATATAATTTTATACTTGCATGTCTTTTTTAGTACAAGATGGAACAGAGTGAAGTTATTTTACAACACCTCATATCAGACACATCTTCCAACTATTCCAAGCTACTTAGGATCCACATAAGGACATTTTTCCAGTTTGTTCACATGAAAATCACAGATCACTTAAGACCGACTCCAACAATGCAAGATGTATGGAACCAGTTAAAAGACTCAGATTATCTAACAAGATTCAATGAAATCCTGAGAAATCTTGGTTTCCCTGAGGACCAGTTAAGAGAGGTGTGTCTAGTTCTGGAGGTCGTCAGAGGGGATGAACTTTGTGACACCTCAGCCTCTTTTAAAAAGACATTAGCTCCGCCCACTGCCCCGCCCAATTCACCGATTGACAATGTCACTTTGTCTGATCTATTAATACATCTGGATTTGTTGGATGACCTTGATTTAAGCTTCAAGGATGCATTACAAAGAATTGTGACCATCACCTCTCAGAGCTGGGATTGATGCACAGTGACAACAAAAATGTGTGTCTTTGTTTAAGCTATCAATTGTTTATTTATACTTTTTTGTATATTAACAATTAACAACTGGTACATATAAACTGAAAAATAAATAAAAATGGATGGCAATACATGTTGGTATTATTAAATTTACAAAACCACTAACTATCAAAGCAAATAATTAGAACCATAAAATAAGAACACAACTGGGATACTCATATAAATTATTGGCAAAAAGTGTATTGTTACAGTGTATTTCAATAATTTTTAAATCACTTATTTTGAAACTCACAGATATCTGTCCAATATGAAAGGTTATTCCTTCCAAAACGTGAATAAGAGATGCTTATAATTTGAGTGCATATGCTCCAGTAGATTGTAGTGAAAAAATATAAATAGTAGACAATAATCAAAGTCCATCTGAACTAAGTCATTGATTATGAAAAGTGAGCCATCATATAATGCTTTGGAATAGTACACTGACTAGCACTGTTAAAGATCACTGATTTTTGTTTTGACAAAAATTGTTCCACACATTTTCATGCAGCCAATCTGGATTCTAATGAAGAGCTTTGACCTCATTTTCTTCATCACTTTCTCTTTCTTCTTCATCGTCCAACAGTTCATCTTCCCTAAAAATATGAAACCATATATAAGCAAAATTAAACCAGTATTAAATACAGTAAATATCATTTTGACAGTGTTTGGGAGATAATAAAACAAACACATGTTACTTTTGTGGATTTGTCATTAATACATCATCATGCACCCATGAAGAATGCTGAGCATTGAAGTTGATTTTTGATTATTTGACACTTCTGTATAAAGGTCACTAGTAACCCATCAATTAAGTCTCCCAGATTTGAATCTAAGCTCAGCAATTCATTGCATATTAGATTCCTGTGAACACCAATGCTCATATGTTATATTATTAACTGTATAATTTAACACTCCATATAAATTCTAATCAGAAGGTCCATTAACAACATTAACAGAATGTAGGCCTGATGCTCCTCATTGTCTTATAATCCTGACCTGAGCCTGGAGTTGATGTCGTAGCCCTGATCCTGCTGACTCATCCGACTGAAGGAGCGACTACTTCCTGTGCTGCCCTCGTCATCCGTGTCTGGCAGTATACTCATCCGAGATATCTGGCCATCAGCTGCTCAAAAATAATATAATAATAACTCATATGAGATATCTGGCCATCAGCTGGAGAAAATAATGTAATAACTCATACGAGATATCTGACCATCAGCTGGTTAAAAAATAATGTCATAGGATGTAATAACTCATACGACAATTAAGGCCGTCAGCTGCTCAAAAACGAGAAATAATGAAAATAAATGATACGATTTGGAAAGTATCCAGTGCCTTAATGAGAGATTTTTTTTATTGTTTTTAAAAAACACTTCTGCTTTGAACAATAGGTTTATGAATGTCTGACTCTTTCTCTCTGACACCCCCTCCAACAACTCTTGCCCATAGTGCCTTTGATGTCTGTCAAAAACACCCCCACCCCCAACCCCCACCAACCAACAACAACTTTTCTGATTGTTCTTTCAGGGCCTGTAATCCTGACTGTATATCCCATGTAATCCTTGCCACAATACAAATCATATGTGACGCGCCAAGCAAAAACCTCCCTTATCTCTATTATGACGTAACGTCAAAAGACGCGTCTAAAGTCAACAAGGTAAAATCGACGTAAAAACGCCTCCTCGAGAGAACTGAGAAATTCTACCCCAGCAAAACAAGGAGATTATTTATATGCTAGAAGGAAGATTTTTGGGTGTGGTTTGATGTACTTCATTCTGTAAGAAGTTAGTTTCCGTCAAGTGTCTGTGTGATCTTTCCTTTTCACAATTAAGTGTTTATTATTAAAGATGTCCAGTCGTGGTTAATAAATTCCTGTAAGGCCGTTTAAAAAAAAAAAAAAAAACTGTTTGCCCTCTCACTATTCGGGCTAAAATAATTGGCGTCGGTATAGGTAGGTCGAAATTTTTTTGTCGGAAATTTTCAATGTTGAATAAAACTAAAGGCATTTCTGAAACAAAAAAAAAAAATAGTTGTTGATGGGATGAGAAAATTCCGGAAAGAATATTTTGGAGGTTTTGAAAAGATTTTAGTCGGTTAATCTTAAAAGGTCAAACAGACAATTTTTTACAGATAGTAAAATTTATTATGCAGCTGTTTCATCATTATGCATATGCAAGAAAAAGTAAAAAGGAGTATAACTAAAAAAGCATTTTTTTCAAAAATAGCGATGCAGTGAAAAATGACCTGAATTACTTCTCTTTTATTTAATTTTACAGCTACCCAATTTATGATATAAACTGAGCTGGGCAGTAAACACTGCAGTTTATATTTTTAAAAGGGCGTAAAGTGTTCCAACACAGTTTATACCATATAAATTGGGTAGCTATTAATTAAATTCGTTAAAAAAAATTTTTTTCATTTTATGTATGAAAAAAAAAATTGGGTTCCATTAAAAATCACTTCAAATTGTACAATATTGAAATGTAAGGTCAGGCGGATCGATATGTTTTTGGCGCATGTGATTGAGACTGATAGATAATCAAAATTATACAATAAAAAGTTATTTCTTTATCCAACCAATTACCGCGTTATAACTAGAATTAAATTATTACATCTTTTTACTTCCGTAGATGATGTAAGTTTGAAAACTGCATCGCTGTTTATTGTTCTTTTCTGTGCAAGTAGTAAGAACTGTATATAATCTTGGATAGCTTGCCAAGGATATTGATAAATAATTACGTTTAGTTAAAAAATGTAATTCTCTCTAGATACAACAGAGAGTATTTGTTTTGGATACTTCTTCCGGGATTAGTTTTTAGCCGTTGATTTAAAATGAATGTTTTGAAGAAAGGCATTTTGAGCTTCTCAATTGAGTTTGTTATTGTTAAATTGTTTAATACCTTGTTATGTAGTACACAAAAATGTAGAAAAAATTCGGACACTCCCCTTCTCTTATGTGTCAGGTGTCTTCCAACTCTTTGGCGACTTCGTGCTTTTGTCGGGAATATATACAGATGCTCGCATACATTGTAAGTTACAGTCCCACTTTCTAAGATATTTCATGAATGAGATTAAAACAGATTGGACATATTTTTTATCGACCTTTTCCGTCATTTTGCTACAATTTTATGTCTTAATAATCCGTTTGCTGAGGTTATAGCGGTACACACCGATAATACATCGAATGTGAAACTGGCAAACATGATACATCGCTAAAATGTTACATGAATAATTAGATCTAATACACATCGTTACAAATTGTTTGAACACTGTAAAAACATCCCATCCTATTAAAATTTTGAGCAAGGTTTATCTGCCAAAGAAAAAATTCGGGAAGAGATGACTTTAAAGTTTTGGATTCCTGAAAACAGCATAAGTTCAGCCATTCATAAAATTGCTGAATCAAGTTGCCGCATGTAGTAACGCAGTCTCCGGTGCTCATTTAGCCCTCTGAACCTAGAACATCAATGCAGGATGGAAGTTTAAATTAAACATTTTAGAGGTTTTAAATTTTCTTTGTAATGATTTTATTTTAACCTTCAATATTAAGGATTTATTTAACCTGCGATAAGTATATCCCCGATAAAGATTTTACAACCAACATTTTATAATTAACATATCTAAACATTGGTAAATAGAACAATAATCTTATATTTTCTTCTGTTGAATTGCAAGTAAATGAATTATCTGCATTTCAAATAATGGAGATTAACCACCAATCACACGAAATTTGATACATATACATGTAACAAACTTAAACAATATCAATAGTTTTCATGTAAATTTGATTGGCTTAAATTATTGCGTGCTTGATCAACTAACCCATTCACACCGCTTCAAGTTTATCAAAATATGTGTATAATTACATATTATGTATAAATTAAAACAATAAATTCATTTTTTTAAATAACAAAATTTACAACTTACGATTGTTAATGTGTGCCTTTCTTGTTTACATAGTTCAGGTAATAGATTAAGCATGGATGTCCATAGCAGAGACGACACAGCCCCCCCCCCTCCCCCCGTTTCGATAATGGAAGAATATTAAGTATGTTTTGTCCGTTCTTTTCATTTCTGTTGCGATTTGAGACAGACATGCCGTGACGTAACATCGTTTCTGAAAAAAAGGGGGGGGCAGCTAGAGAATTTTTTTACTTACCTGAAAAAGTTGAGTAAGAAAAAAAAATTCCCAAACTCCAAAATCCTATATCGCGGGGGGGGGGAGGGGGGAGGGCAAATTTTTCTAAGGCCTACATCCTTCAGTACCAATTTTTCGGCACACAATGCTATAAGAAGTGTTGGAGGGGGGAGGGCAACCAAAATTTCAAGGTATATTTTCAATAGTGAAGTTGGGATAAAAAGTGGGGCGAGCCCACCCCCCTCTTTGCTATAAGTGCCTGGTATGTTTTATCCTATACAAAAAAGCAACTAGTATTTGATCTGATTAATTGTGTGCACGTACTTTCTCAGGAAAGGAATAAGCTTATAGATTAGGCCTCATATTCTACGGGTTGTAATTTCCCCAAAGTTATTACAATCATGTGGATTTCACAACGACACCAAAAGAAGAAAAGGATCGAACCGCACTACAATAGACAAATAAAATTTATTCGAGAATATTAATAAGCCAATCAAAAGGCTTTAAAAATGAATTCGTATTTCTGCATACATTTCCCCCGCATTAAAATATTTGAAGCTAAAACATTTAAATAGTATAAACTTGTGGTAAAAGAAATATTATTGTAGCCTGTAGGTAAAAAAAAAACCTATCGCACACTTTAAAAATTAAGGTACATGTATTTAAAATGTAAACTATGACTTTCTCTTTAGTCTGTGGATTTAACAGGCTGTAATATCCGAGGGTGGGGTGGTAGGGGGCTTTCTGGAACTATTTTAAGATAACTACTTTGATAATGTAACAGATACAATTAAGTGCCTCTGCTTACCGGGTAATTCGGATTGAACCCGAGGCCTCTGGCTTGCCAGTCCAGTGCTCTTCACCGATTGAGCATCAGGCTTAACCCACCAGCCCAAGCTGTTTTGTATATCGTTTAATTGTACTACCATAATAGGATTTTTTCATCTAAATATTGCCTTTTTCCTATTACTGTTGCAGTGATGTATATTTCTGCGGTTTTATTGCATTAAGAAAGCCATAAATTGGAAGATCTCCCAGAGAAGATTTTCGATTTTGATTTGATTTTTTTTTTTTTTTTTTTACTTGTCAATAATTTCTGTGCCTCCCCCCCTTCTTTTTTTAAAAGATATAGTTTAGAATGTTTATTTTCTATTATTACGATGAAAAGATTTTAAGTGTTGATATTTTTAAGGGAATCAAATCAAAAGTTTAAAAGATATGAATATCATTAAAATCATTATATTGCTTAACGTTATTTTACGGTTTTACGTTATGAAAATCAATGCAGTTACACACGTCACAGAAAATATACCGTCATTGTCATGCGATTTTTTATACATTTATACACAGAAATATATGTCATACTATATATCAAATGAAAGAGAAAGAAAAACTCTACAAGAATCAATAAAAAACTGAAAATGTCAAAATTCTTCGTTAAGGGAGGTTTTTGCTTGGCGCTTCACATATACATGTATCTCTGACTTTGTGCTCCCCTCTACGAACGGTTTCTGCACAGTACCTGTGATTCTGCCAGACTCTGAGGCCAGCTCCCACTCCAGTTTATTCAAACTCTCCTGGTCTTCCATGTTCCTATTTTCCTGGTCCCCAACAGCATCATAAGATGATAAATCCTCCCCATCCACAACTATAAAAACAAGATTAACACTTGTTTACCTATCAATAGAAAATTGGGAAAGCCAAACCTCTGCTTTAAATGAGGTCTGGAGAATCTCTGTCTTAAATTTTATCTGCCTTTCTCTTCTCTTAATCAAACTTTTGCTTGTTGAATCTTGATTGCAACTTAAGGTTGATAATTCTACAGCAAAGATTTTAGGGTTGTGAGAAAAGTGTGAGGCCCTACCTATAGCCCTGGACATTGGTCTCTCTAGTCCCTCAGCCCTGGGGGTCTGACCTCCAAAGCGTGACGATGCCCTCGCAGATCTTGGAGTTATACCAGTACCAGATCTACTGACAGATCTTGCCCCCATTTGATCTACCCCTCTGCTATGCGAACGATTTCCGAAAGTTGTAGAGGATTGTACATCAGTAGGTTCTAGGTCATCAGAGGGTTCAGCCCCTGGGGTCTCTACTCTGGGGGTGAGGGTCCTATGGGAGGATCGGCTTTTTGAGTGCCTGCTGGGTTGTCTGAAGCTTTTCTCTCGTGGAGGTTCAGGGGATCTTTGTTTTGTTGATGGATGACTAAAGCTGAAGTCTGGTAAGGTGGAATCTCTCAAAAGAGAATCACTGCGACTAGGAGCTCTGAAACACCAAAGTAGGGTTTAAATATAAAATGTTCAGGAACTGGTAATTTTTAAATTACGGCTGAAATCAGAAACAATTATAAAACTTAGAAAGAAATCAAAGTCTCTTCAATCATTTTTTGTTATCTGTTCATGGAGACTAAGACTTATGATTTCTTTCCTCTTTGGGACTAATATTTCATCTTTTTATGGCCAAGTATTCTGTTCATACCAGGTACTCACTATAAGCAAGTTTTTTGCTGTTGTTTTTCTTCTAGCATTTCTTATTTTGTGTCAATTTGTCAAAACATGTAAGTGACAAGTTGAATTAATTGTACATTCCTAAATATGATTAAAAAGCCATAGAAACCTTGGTGTGGGTGTGTCAGCATCTACTATTTCAGCGTTGCTATGGTAAACGTTAGCACCCATGACCATATCAATGGCATCAGTTTCCATGGGAACAGCTAAAGGGTCCTCCACAGGTTCTACTTGTGCATCTGGTGCATTTTCTGCGAGACTGCTGTCTGGTCTCCAAGAGCGAGGGGCCATCTGGTACACTAGATAAAGAACAATCATAGACTTTTATTGTATGAAAAGTCGGCTCAACTTATAAATCAGTACCACATAAAAATAAAGTGTTCCTTTCTTGGAAAACATTTGATAAATTTTCAATTTGACAAAATTATGAAAAGCTTAATTGTTTATAAAATTCTGTAAACTAACATTCACTTCTTGAGGAAATCAAATGAAATAAATTGCATTTACTAACTGTGATATGATAATTTAATAAAATTATTCATCAATTAATAAATTGTATCAACTTACATGTATATACTGGTAGTCAATATAGTTTTTGAAAGCTTATGTATTTGGAATTTAGCATGGTATTACACAAAGTAAAAGCATCTCTGGACAAAATATTTCTCAGGACAAAATGTTTTTAGATGCATGGGCATCAAAAGACTCTGACAACAGCTTTAACTTCTGGCTTACTCACATTGATTGCTAACTCTTATTTTATCGTCCTTGGCACTCTTGGCCCTGGATGGGGTCATGACTCTGTCTTGCTGTACTGGGGTTACACCAATCATAAACAGCTCCTCCAATGGTACACTCCGTTGAACTTTGACCTCTGCTGACATCTGGGCCACCATACTCAAGGCTTCACTGGGACCCTTAGTCAGACAGCCTTCTCTGTAAATCGTTATGTTCTATGAATCTTTTCATCTTTTCTTTTTGAAATCAATGAATACAGATTCTTTGAAAAAAAAATGCATATAGCTTCTGTAGAAACACAAAATTCATCGGCTGCCAAATTAAACTTTGTTTTTTCGAAGTCAATCAACTTATACGATACTTGTCATATAAAAAATTTGTGTGGCATTTAATTTTGTTGATAATTGTTCACAGTTAACAACAAAATAAATGAAATAAACAACATTATACCTAAATAAACTGGTGTTAAAATTTGCAAATGTCTATTTATTAATGATGTGCATTATAACCATTTATTTTCTGCCAGTTGAAAAAATAACAGCCCCCCCCCAAAAAAAAATATCTGTCTATGAACTAAAATATTCCTAAATCCTTGTATATAATCAGACACTCGTATACATACTTTTAATAGAAAAGAATCTGAAATCTTACCCTTCCATCCTGGATCCTGCTCTACTTCTTGTTTGTGATCCGGGTCTCTGAGAATCTTGTCGGCTCTTTGCTCTACTGGACGGTGGTCTAGATTTGGCAGAGAAAGGTCGCACTCTTCCAGACTTGACCCTACTCTCTGTCCTTGATTGGTCTTGATGACTGTCCTTGACCTTTCCTGACCCTAATCTATCCTCAGTTTTGATTGGTGGTTTGGCTGACACGTTTTCATTTGAGGGGATAATTTCGTTTTCTGTTTTGGGATCTGCTCTGCGTTTTGAAGGCTTGGGTGGTTTGCTGCTTCTCTGGGTTTCTCTAGCACTGTCCTCACTTACAAAAAAATTTTTTTTTAAAAATAGATTGAATGCATATACAGCACAACTTCCATATCTTTAATATACCGGTAGTTTAACCTCAAATACCATGGATATGTAAAAGTGATTTGGAAGTGCCAACCATTTATTCTTGTAAAAAATTTACCCTTAATAACTCAAAACTTTGGATAATTTTGTTTTGTCTGGTTGTGTTGGAGATAATGAGAATTGACTGTAAACAGTATAGAATTTTACATTATTTTAATCAAAGGAATGGGAAGAGGTGGGAGGAGGATATAAACTGACCTCTCTTTGACTGTCCAGGCCTCTAAATCACTGACCTCCTGAACTACAAACTCTGTAGTCTCCTCTATTGTAGGATTGGTCTGTAAATGCAGAGAATAATTGATAGAGAACACATTTTATTAGGATGCTGTATAAATGAACTACTGATCTCATTCATGAAAATAATTACTACTGGTTTGTTTTTCTCACCCAAACCTTGAAATAAAGAGGATTTTCTTTAAAAAAAAAAAAAAAAAAAGGACATTTCATTTCTACATTTCATAAAAATGTTCATGATGCAAAACCATGATGTAGATCTCAAGAATTGATTTCTGTAGTAGGAAAATGCTCACAATTAAAGGTCCCTTGTAAACATGTACATTAATGATTTAAGGCCTTGGCTAAATCTTATCCCTAGAGAAATGGATGTAAGAATTGCCTATTCTAAATCACTCTAGTCCTCATGACCTTGACCTTATGTGAATTTTGAACTTACTGTTACAGAATCCAGTTCAATGATAGAAATGTTGTCCTCATCATGGCGAGCTTTCCCTACACTCGTCTTGGAGGAGGCCTTAGACAACTCATACAGAGCTTTAAAATTAACTCTTTCTTCATCTGAAACACAGAAAAAACATTCATTTCTAAAACTCTTTAAACCAAATATCTGCCGCTTTTTTGACCTTCTTTTACACATGAATATTTCATGCCACAAAGTTTGTTTTGTTTTATATTTAAAGAATAATTCCTGTAACAAAAAATAGTTGTCACAGATAGATTCAAAATAAACAAACTGAATAAATTTTGTCTTATGTTATAATTGGTTTACACAGTACATTCCCTTTTCATATCTTATTGACATTTATTTCCGAGCCTGCAGAATTAAGGTAACACATACCCTCCATGTCCTCATCCTGCCCCTGGTCTTCCTCTGCTCTGCTCCTCTGGGGATAAGCCTCGATACGAGGAGTCTGCTGGCTCCGAGGGGTGAAGGGCATCTGTACCTCACTGTAATTGTCCTCAGGCATGGAGGGGAAGTTCAGTCGAGGAGTCGCAGGCAAACTGACCCGAGGGGTCTCAGTCTTCTCTACGTCTGTCTGTCTGTGTTTCTTAAGGAGGAGTCGTTCAGCATAGGTTAGGTTGGAGGAAAACTTTATTTCCACAGGAGGAGGTTTTTTGGTTTCTGTGCCACTGTCAATTCCCATTGGAACAGGTTGACCTAAATAAAACAAAATAGCTATTATTTTCTACTTAATCATGCAGTTGTTATAGGTTGCTATTACCAACCTTCAGTTAGAGTATTTAATGTGATTACATGTATATAGAAATTCTATTCTGAAATGAAACATTCTGCTCATCTATGGTTACTACTCAAGTGGAGTCTCAACTTCACAAAAAAATTGAGGATGCTGGGTGATGGACAATAATTTACATCTTATTTCCACTTTGAGACTTAAGGTTTTCTAATTTTAAATGTTGACTTATGAAGTTTTTAAGAATTTTAGAACTTGAGGTTTTCTGTGGTGTACTGTGTGTCTATGACTTATGTGGTGTTTCGACTTCAAGAACTTGAGGTTGTCTGTGGTGTACTGTGTGTATATGACTTATGTGGTGTTTAGACTTCAAGAACTTGAGGTTGTCTGTGGTGAACTATGACTTACGTGGAGTTTCCACTTTGAGAACTTGAGGAGGTTGTCTGGTGGTCGACTCCTGAGCTGGTTCCCCACCCTCAGACTTTCCTGTCCTCCAGGCAGCTAGGGCCGCCTGGAATGAAGCAGCACTCTCAGCCTCGTTGTAATCCCCATCAAACAGGGAGGGGCCATCAAAGGATCCGCTCGCCCCCTCAGGACTGTTCCTTCCTTGATCGTTGAACTGATAAAAATCATAGGTGTGTCAAATGCATTGTATACAACTTTGTAGTCTCAAGTCTGTTCCTCCCTTAATCGTTGAATTAAAATTTTTAAATTAATTATATCAAACCCATTGTATACCACTTTGTATTGTATTCTTTTCAAGCTATCCTGAATTCAAGATTTTTTTTTCACCACCTCTTTTGATTTATGTATTGAGGCTATTTTAGGCACATTTATCAGTATCTTCAAGTTAAGAAAACTTCAATATAAAGAAGGAAGTGGCTTGAAATACACATATAAGAAGTTGACTAAGAACATATGTGAGAATAATGCGTATCTGCTGCTAGCAGTATAAAATTAATATAGACACCTTGTATGTACTTACTCTTACTCTGTTAATGCTGGAGTGTGCAGGGTGGATCGCATTTTCTGAGGGGTAACTTTCAAAATTTTCGGAGGTATGATTGTCATAATCCCTGAAAAGGGAGAAAATTTAGAGTATAAAATGTGTTTTGTACATGTACTTTATATAAAGAAATGCAAAAACAAGGAAATGCACCCCTCCTTCCTTTCAGAGAAAAGAATAAATTCAAAAAGGACTGTACCCATTGCCATTTGTAACTGGAGGTGCAGGTCTTGGAGACATACACTGCCTTGGCCCTGTTGCCTACAAATACACAATAAATTGAATTTTCTTTTCATTCCAGAAACTCTAATGGATTTGTATCAATTGTTAATAATTCTATATAATTATGTAGTAATCTTAAGTTTCAAATTAAATGAACTCACAGACACTGGAATGGACCTGTGCTTTTTCAGGGCTCCTTTCAAATGGAATGCTGCAAAACAACTCGGGCAATACAGCTCAGAGCATTGGATGCAAGACTGAAAACATTACAACGAAAAGTTCATAACGATATAAAACTAGTCATAATAATACATTGAAATTATTCCTTATTAATATGCAGTGCAGCAAAAATAATAAAATGATAATGGATAATATAGAAAGAGCAAAAGCTTAGTCTCTGAAGTCCAATGAAAATTGGTTTCCCTGAAATCTCAGTTTACTAAATAGGTTTGATCCAGGCAATCAGAATCTTGCTTAATGACAAATTATTTCAATTGTATAAGATTTTGGAATTCAAAAGCAAATTCAAAAAAATTTGGGATGAGCACATATTAATGAATTACTCTTATAATGGTGGAAAAAATCAGTATGGGTATACATGTACATGTAATAACTTGCTTCAAGACTTTTGCATATACTTCTGAAATTAAGCACGTTTCATTTTCAAGCATTTTTAAAATATAAACTCCAGCAAATAATAGCTGGACCCCATATGTTCTAACTGATTTTAATATATATATTATTCTGTTAAATACATCATTTAAATAAAGGAATTTCTTTCCATACCACAGCAGCTTTTTTCTCCTCACACTGGCCACACTTGGGACCTTTGACCTTCTGTCGTGGAGTGGAGGATACGTCTTGTTTGGCAATGTACGCCATTGTTCCTGGTTGACTTGGTCTTTCTGGGATGTCTGTTAAAAAAATCAATTTTACTACATTGTTCTGTTAACAAAATAAATTATACTACATCTGTTAACAAAAAAAAAAAAAAAAAACCAGAAGTCTCTGTCGAGACTGAAGCTCTACTGGTTTGTACTGATAGTAAAGAAAGAGAAAAGTTCTTAAGAAGTTGGGAATTGAAACTTTACCACAGCAATAAAAAGAATTAAGATCCTTGATTAAGTGTCTTTATGTTCTTAGTATAGTCTATTTGCATGCCACATTATATTATAATCAGACTTAAACTGCAGGAGGAGTAGCATTTTGAGATTTTTTAACAGAAATTTCTATTTTTAGTTACCATGGCAACACCATTCATCGAAAACAAAAACCAATATACAGAATTACATATCTTAGTGTAGTCTACTTGTATGCCAAGTTATATTGAAATCAAACCAAAACTGTAGGAGGAGTAGCATTTTGAAAGAATTTCACAGAAATTTCTATTTTTAGTAACAAGGCAACACAGTTCATCGAAATCAAAAACTGATAAACAGAATTATGTATCTTAGTGTAGTCTACATGTATGCCAAATTATATTGAAATCAGACCAAAACTGCAGGAGGAGTAGCATTTTGAAAGAATTTCACAGAAATTTCTATTTTTAGCAAAAACGGCAACACCGTTCATCGAAATAAAAATCGATACACAGAATTATGTATCTTAGAGTAGTCTACTTGTGTGCTAAGTTATATATATATATATAAAAATGTAGAAGAAGTAGTATTTTGAAAAAATTTCACAGAAATTTCTATTTCTAGTAACCACGGCAACACCGTTCATCGAAATCAAAAACCGATACACAGAATTATGTATCTTAGTGTAGTCTACTTATGTGCCAAGTTATATTGAAATCAGACCAAAACTGTAGGAGAAGCAGCATTTTGAAAGAATTTCACAGAAATTTCTATTTTTAGTAACAATGACAACACCGTTTATCAAAATCAAAAACCGATATACAGAATTATGTATCTTAGTGTAGTCTACTTGTGTGCCAAGTTATATTGAAATCAGACCAAAACTGTAGGAGGAGTAGCATTTTGAAAGATTGTTTACAGACAGACATATTAACGGACAGACAGACGGACGGACGACGGACGCATTACTATCGCATAAGCTCTTCTGGTCTCTGACCAGTAGAGCTAAAAACCAAGTTAACTCAGGATCTGACCATGTTCATAATCATATTCATAATCATATGAAGTATAAAGTTTAAAAAAAATCATTTACTTACCAAGAGGAGTGTCCTTTAGGACTTTGACTTTCTTTTTACCAGAACTCTGAAGAAAAAAATGAAAAAAAATGAAGGCACATTTCCTCTAGTAAATCACATCTTTCCACCCCAAAGCAATAAAAATGTAATATTCTATATTTCATGTTGCTTTTCTTATAAAAGTGAAAAGATATTCAGCTTTATACACAAAACAATCTATAGAAGATAGAATTTATAAATGTACAAAAAAACCAGTTTCAAATCATCCAATTCAATTACATGAGCATTGTTAATTTTCTTAAGGACCTGCTCTACATTGTGAAAGACTTGAACCTGTGAATACATATTAAAAAAACAAAACAGATACTGTGTGTGTGGCAGAAGAGAGATTACGAGGGACTGAGATCTACCTTGGAAGAGGAGGGTTTATTTAGGACGTCCGTGGCATAGGAGTTCAGGTTCCCTGTCTGACCTCTGGACCAGTAACCCCCACCTTGTCTCCTGGAAAAAAAAATTAGAAATGTTTTACAATTTATTTTTCATCAAGTTTACATTTATTTAATTATGTTCATACTGCTTTTACATCAATATTGAAAAAAAAATTCCTGTTGTTTTTTAGGTTTGTATTGGCTCTACTCATAAATTGTAGTGTAGAAATGGACCTTAAATTTGCACATTGTTGGTTATCTTTACATTTCTTGATACACAAATATTTTAGCAAAATATAATGCTTTAATGGTATAATGGTGTTTTTGTGTAATTTTGTATTGCATTGATATAATGATGTTTCAGCGGCAGTGCTATAATATACTTCTGTATTGTTATGGTATATTATGGTGTTACTGGCTGATTTTCTTACTCTCTCTCCTCCTTTTCTTTGTTCATCGCCAGTCGGAGTTCTGCTAGCCTCTCCTCCATCTTCCTACTCTCTGTTTCCAGTTTGTGAGTCTCATCTCGTGCCCGTTTGACATTGCTTACAAAAGAAAAATATTAATTTAAGTTAAAACATTGCTTTTAGTCTGAACTTTATGTTAAGTGGCATATGTTTTGCTCTGAATGTAAAACTTTTCAGTCAAGTTTAATTTCACTGCTTGGTAATTAACATTTTTAATTGAAATGTGTAACACAATACATTTGTTTAACTAACTTTTAAGTCTTTCCAACTAAGAATACAGAGTTAGAGATTGAATTTTAACATATTTGTCATGAGAAGTACATTGTTATTTACAATTCTAGAAATGTAAGTACAAGACTTATTCCCTATATATTATAATTCATTCTGCTAATTATTTATTGAAATAAATAAACAATTTAATATCTAATCATATATCATTAATACTTCAACCATTCTTACAACATTTTTGTCTATATGCACATGTAAGAAATACAATTTGACACATTTTATGTATTTTTTAAAAATTTATGAACAAAACCCAGATCAACTCATTTACCAAACCACAGCATGCAACGCCAGTATTCCTATCACAATGCCCTTAAGTTTGTTGTTTTAACTGATTATATCATACACAGTGCATAGCAGTATAAAAGAAAGATACACATGCACAAGGTGTCAGTTTCCAGCTATAATTTAGATACAACCATTTAAAACATCACAGTCATAAAGTGTTTTGCAAATCAAGACAATTAAGACCTACAGCTATAAAGACAGATTTCCTGAATAACTATTATATCATTATAATGTGTACTTACTGAAAACGGGATCTATATGTATTATAAAAATTTAGAATGTACAAAAACAAGTCTGCGAAATAAATCAGTAAATTGAATAGAAAATCCTTTTTCACATTTTCAATTATTGGTTAGCTAGCATATAATTATTTATGCTTCAATAAATGTAGAGTCATTTTAAAAGTGTTATTATATTGAATGCGGGTGGTTTGCCTCCGTATATACACCATTTCGCGCCGAGTGGATAAAGCCAATATTCACACAATTACTTTTATCTCATACGACTTTCATTTTAACAAAACTTCGCCCCACGTGTATATTATACATTAGCTTTGAAGTTTTAAAGAATTTCTATTAGTATGAGTGCTTATAATGAAGAATATTATTCTATTTTCTAATTACTGATGTGTCTCTATGCAACTTGAAGATTGATTGCCTTTGAAGTTTCCTTGTTCTACTGTACATAATTTAAACATTGTAAATAAATTTAATATTGTAAATCAACTGAAAAACAATGACAGCCTTCATTGAAAAATCAACGCGATTTGTGAAATAAATAAATGTATTTTAATATCCAGTCCTAAATTATTCCAAATTAGACGATCAAATCTGTTCAAATAGTCATAATTTGGCTAAAAATGGCCTCACTTATTGTATTAATACATATTGGGATAATTCACATAACACGACATTAACGCTTGGGGTTAATTAATTACAAGCTACCTGACAGGTAATAAAATTTTGGCGAGGGATCGTGTCACACCTGCTATTGATAAAGCATTACCTGTAGATAAAGCATAAGTTTATCCAACGGCGCGATACCACACGTATGCGATAAATTATTTATGCTTCAATAAATGTACACCATTATATTAATACATGATGTGGATAGTTATAACACTGTGTAAATAAGTTAATACATCCTTAACATTGTTACATTTCTTAAAATTAATACAAACTAAAATAAGGCTTTACTAGACTGATAAATTTGTTATTTTATGTCTCTAATTCCCACTTACTGTTGTTTAAGTCTAAAGGATATATCCTCTTTAGATCTAGTGTTTGTGTTGAATCCAAATGACATGATGAATCTTAGCTGTAATAAAATTAATTGTAAAAAATGAATATGAAAGCATAATATAATGCCTTAATAGATTCAAATCATATTGGTTAGCTTATATTGGTTAGCTACCCGGTAACAATTTTTAAAGGAAATTCGCGCTATCGAAAAATGGGAATTCTCTTACTTTTCGGGTACTGTGTGTATTGCATTGTATAAATTTGAAAAAAAACAATGATATTTATGATACATTTATCTTGAGCTTACCAAATATTCCAACAAAAATGAGTTATTCAGATGTTTGTTAGTTTTAGCACCTTGTTAACATGGTAAACAAAAACGGAATGCAGAATTCTCGCAAGTTACCTAATCTCGCGATATTACATACCGTAACCGGTAGCGAGGTGATTCAGCTTTACTTGATTTCGGACCGGAGTCGCAATCGCTCTAAATTTTTTTTTCTCATGTGAATATTATCAAACAAATAATTTCAGGAACATTTAATCGAATGTCCATGTTTTCATTTTTTTGATAGATCTATGAGATTTTTTTAAACGTCCTATGATAAAAAACTTCACACATTTCCGAAATGCGGATATGTGAAATTGGTATGAAGTCTTTGGCATAAAGCTTTAATCCCACCCCACCCCCCTCCTCGGTTGACTCAGCCACGGTCCATTGAAGTTGGTGTGCAAGGTACCGAAAACTTTAGTTTTTGTTTATTGTTAATGTGGATCTTTGTGAAATTGGTATGAAGCCTTTGGTATATGAAGCTTTCAAAGTCAACACTGAACCCCAGCTTTTGCAATGAAATTTAGCATAGCAACTCCCTATGGATCACGAAATCATTGATTTTGAGGTCAAAAGGTCAAAGGTCAAGGTCATAAATAAGCAAATTCTGTCTGTTAAAACACTTTCGTTTCCACACGATATCTCCCATTTGAGCTATAGCAAAGAAATTTTACCATTCAAGTTAGTGTGCAAAGTTCAGGTACATTCTGTCTGTGTGTAACACTATCATTTCGATATTTCATAGGGTTTGTTTTTTATTATTGTTAGTTTGTTTGATTTCTGTCACTATTTTTAGCTTTATTGTCAAAAATTTCTGGACTTGGATTTTTTTCTAAATAAATCAAACACCATGAATTGTGTAAAATTTTTAGAATACCGAACATGAAAAAATGAATATATACTTGTATGTGACTTCAGTTCTGCATATACTTCACTCTGGGTAAAGCGACTCCCTAGTGGAAAATTTGAGAGGTACTGGGATCGAATTTCGCCTTTTTTTTTAATTTTTTTTTTTTACCAACGCATGTGAAATAAAAATTTATGATCTCTCTGTGATAAATATTCCATATAAAAAATATTCTATACACATAATAAAGAATAAGCAATCAAATCTTTATATGCATATTGACATCATGTATTTTATTTGCTTCAGTATACATGTATACATTTAATAATTCTACAAATTCAGTACATGAATTCTCTGAATTAGCTTGTTTTTCTTAGCTTAATGTCAAGAAATTTCTGGATTGTTTTTTTCTTATCCGTTGTCAAAAAAATCCTGGATTCACATTTAGTTCCCGAAATTTCAGCTTTTGTACGCAGATTACTTATATAAAAATATCCACATTCAGTGCATTAACATTATATATGAAAGGCGTAAGCTGTCAGCATCCTGATTTTACTTTGCTGACAACGTCATTGCTTCCAACACAAAACATGCATATTCTTGTTTTATCAATTTGTTTGTTAATAGCTCGCCTCCTTTTATAAATTGTTCGCGCATAGGGCATCAAAACAGGTATTTGAGACATACGATCCAGGAGAGTTTCGGAGAATTACGTGTAGATCTATTTGTATGCGTACACACATATGACTGTGTATTCCATTGATGGGCATGTATTTCTTTTCTAAACACTTACTAGATTTCCACATTTACAAGTATATATACAAACATGAATCAGCATTGCCCATTTAAAGTGAACTCCGATAAAAAGTGCAAACATCTCGACCACGGCATCTCCAGCTTCCGATTTCTAGAAAAGCGGATGATCTTTTTGAAGTAGGATTACACAAATAAAGCGATCGCTCAAGATGACCACATAATACCATGTACTTAATATATTGATATTGCTCCAATACAATGGGACACGATTTTTATAGGTTTTTAGGCCGTACAAGTTTATCGATATTTAGGAATTAAAATGATGATTTTGATTTGGAATTATTATATAAAGTGATCAAGGGTAATGTATTATAGGAATTATATATTGTTTCTGATTTCCATCGTGACTTTCAAGGTATTACAATTTGATTATGTTTCATTTTATTTGAACATGTAATAATGGACTTAAACAAAATTGTTTTTCATGTTAATTTTAAAAGTTTCATTTTTTATTATTTCAAAATAATTATAACTTTTTGAACACCAATTATAATTTCCCCGATTTATTTGACCTCAAAATTTCCATGAATTTAACTACAATTTTGTACAATAAATATGAAAATAAGCAAATACGTGTTTATATGTTAAATTTTCAAAATGACACTGAATTTTTATGACAATACATGTAAATTTATAACCACAATCATGTACAGAAATGAATACCTCGAATTCAAGCACGGACACCAGGTATTACTACGCCTCAGAAGTGGCCAGAAATCTACGCAAAGCATTCCGAGAGGCCTGGGCAAGAGAAGTAATACACAGGTAAATATAAAATTAAGATTTTTTTTTACGCTTCGGAATAATTATTTCTATGAGTTGAATTAATTTATTTAAAAAGTTATGTTGTCTTTTGGAATTTAACTTCCATAATAGTAAATTAAGACAATGTTTTCCAATGAAATTACAAAGTTAGGATTTTGTAATGTAAAAAAATATCGCGGTAGTGTAAAGTAGATTTTATCTTTTTCATCTGACATAGTTTTTATCTGACATATCCAGAGAGAGAGAGAGAGGGAGAGAGGTATACAATAGGGGAATTGTTCAATCCGTTGTGTTTGTCTTCCATCTGCAGCAAAATCCCCATTACCCAATCGCAACGTTACCTGTTATCAGAATCCATGTATTTTCAAAACATGCAGCAGAAAGGTATATTAATTACGTCATCTACGTTACAGGTTTCCGTGCTTATGTGGGATTTCTACACTTTGAGAATATGACAACACATCCGGTTTTATTGACATTTGTCCGTCTGTTGTTAGCAAGGCCTGGGTGATTTGAACCACCCCAAAAATTAAAAGCCAGTGTTAAGGCATCCGTGTCACATGGAGATGAAAAAAATACTTTAATTATGGATTTTTCTGTTTCAGAAAAGAGTGTGAGGATCCAATTGATCACCAGGACATGTACGTCTTTCTGCTCCTTCCAGCCGTACGTCATTTTAGTATTTTATTTAAAAAAATTAATTAATACGATTAAATCGCAATATAGATTGAATTGACGACGGATTTTTTCCGTTATTTTCTTATCATGACAATTAACGAGCACACGGCGGGTGTGACCGGTCGGCAGGGGATGCTCACTCCTCCATGGCACCTGATCCCACCTCTGATTTTTCGGAGGTCCGTGTTTGCTCTGCTCTTATTTTGTATATTGTTTAATGGACGTTGAGATTGAATACTGTTCGTTATCTCCATATCCTTCATTAAAGAAAAAATGAAGTCTTTTAAAGGGTTACAAGTATTTATGCATTTAAGGAAGAAAAATATGTTGATTTTTAGGTTCTGATCATGATGATTTTATTCGTCTCGAAAACGGAGGTTGTCGAACGAGTTTTACATGGGAAAAATGTCCCGAGAAAGTAAGAATATTCAATCAATATCTCTATATAAAACATTATATACTCAATATTATTGAAGAACTCAAAAAGTAAAATCTTAAAGCATGCAAAACAGTTTTTTTGGTTTTTTTTTTTAATACACATTAAAATATATTTAATTAATTTCTCATTTTTTATGTCCCTGTCTCAATGTCACATTGTTTGTTTACAGACCTAAAGATACCTTTGGGTCAGACCGGTTTTCCTTTGCCGCGATATTTGGTGCTTTGACGTTTCTCTGTTTTGAGATAGCTGTAAAACGACGTTACGTCGTACGAAATGCCAATGACGGTCCATTGAACATACAAAGTAAATCAATTTGAAAACATTTCTTGTTTTCAAAGAATGTATAAAATAATATTTATTCTAATTTTCTTTATTGACACATTACTCTATTTCTGCAATGTTTAAGAGTGACATATTTGTCATTGTAAAACCTTTGATATGATTGGAAGAACAGCAGAATCATATATTCATGCAGAAAGTACAGATAAGAACAGTTAGCCATCTCAAGAATTAAATCTATAAACAATACATATTTGTTAAAAACAAAAACATATGGTACGTCCCCTGCAAATGGGAAGGTGCCTAGGAGGAGAAAGCATTCCCTGTTGGCTGGTAACGCCGTGAGATTAATGCCATATTATATATACATTAGAATATGATTCAAAAGTTTGTACATAACGAAAAGTCCAAAAAATATATTAAACCAAGTTATATTTACTTATGATGTAAACCATAAAATTCTTTATTATACCTCTGTTTATTTTTTCTATATAAAAATAAGACGAATAAACATGCTATTTCTTCTAAACAGTCTCTACCGTGAAATAGTTTTTGTAAAAAATGGTGAATAGTCCTCAAAAAACGCAGCATTCTTTCCCTCGCTTTTCATCTCTGAAAAACTTCTGATTTTTACATGGATTGTGACGCGTATATATTACGACGTAACAAAAGTTAAGTCAGCACCGGTATAATATGGAATATCATAATTGTGTGTACCCTGGACTTCCAAAAGTTAACAAAAGTTAAGTCAGCATCGGTATAATAAAACACCTATTTACTGACTATTCGGACACATAGCAAGTTTATCGTCCCCCTCGACAGCAAACTATCTATGCGCCTAAAAAAAAAGTTTGCATATTTACATAAACTTGGTGTAATAGCCATAAAATTGTATAATAATAGTTCTAGCTGCTGTTGTTTCCATTATTGTATACACGCTGGATTACTTCCCTTTGTTGACTGCTCTGGCAGACAAGACAGTGGTAGGAGACATGGCGGGGACGCTTTATATCTGGACGATGACGTCACTGTTCATTATCCAGAGACTTGGTTGTTACGGCGAAGAGGTGAATTTCATAATGCTTTGTTTTGCAATAACTGGATTCGTAACTTGGTCTCGGGACCATTCTCAAGTTAAAATTAAATTATTCAATATTATTTATAGAGGGAAAAAATTGCAAATTGATACCAGTTGTTGCCTATGCATAACGGCAGCGTCATTTGTATAATACGATTGCTTTTAGAACTCGCCTTTTGGTCTTGGTAAATTTGGATCTTCTCGGGAAGCTATATCATCAAGTTAATTAAGGGGAAGCAACTTGTGTAATTTGAACGATACTGTTTACATTGCAGGGGAGGCGACTGGTATTATTCATACAAAACATTCCCATCTTTATGTGCCTCATTTTCCTGGCGGTCAGTTTTCCAGCAAGATTAATCCTGTCAGTCCGTAAAATTCTGAAGAAAGTGGACGGTACATACGAGGAATTTTCTGAGCAGGAGACGGACATCATAAGACAAACTCCGCAGGGGAGATACGTCCAGAGTCTCCTTAGGAAAAGACCCAAAGAAACATTGAAAAACAAAGTGTTAGTAAATAAAATTCTATGTACAAATACATTAAATTTGCCTGAAGTACATCTGTAAAATGAATTGATTAAAACAACATACAAATAAAATGGGAAAGTAACAGATAAATTGTTGAAATAAAAAAAAGAATAAAATAAAAAAAAAGGTGAGAAAAAAGCGAAGTAGAGTAACCGAGTAACTGCCCATTTCATTTAATTAATTAAAAGTAGTGAAGTTAAAAAAGGTGTAATACTGTAGATCACTTAATTTTGGGACACCTTATTATCGCGAGATTGTCATTGACTCTTTATAAGCGAGAAAAAATTTTCACGAATTGTGGCTATTGCTCTATATAATCTTAAGGAATTCTATCATATGTGAGAATGAAATTTTCGCTAGCATACCGCCTCTCGTAATTACGCGAAAATAAAGATCTCGCGAATTAAAAGCGATAAAAAAAAAATGTGACATACAAAATCATTTTATTCCAAAGGGCTATTATATTTTATTAAAATGAAAATAAAACAGAAAGTAACTTACAAAAATATTCCAGGTATTTGTATTAGATTTTATTAGTATACAATAAGTTAATTAAGATTATAAATTTTTTTCATTATATTCTTCAATATTCTTTGTTATTTAATTTTCCTTCTTTACTTGTTTCAGTAAATAACGTCTTTGAAAAAATAAATTAGATTTTACAGGAGAGAGAGTTTGTGATTACGATTTCGTTTGCAATTCTTCCTAAAACCTTTTTCTTTGCACAGAATTTCGTTATTCTCTGAGAATGATGGGTGTCGTAGTTATTGGGGTTCTCCTTATTTACATGGTAAGGAAATTTACATCTATATTTCATATACACTGATATACATTCAACTCTTATTTTACCGAGATATCCACAAAATTCATGACAATATCTTAGATATCCGCCGATTTTTTTTTTCAGATATCTGCGGAGGTTCTTCTTGGGTTGATTCCGATTCTTTCCTACATAAAATCTCTAATTTTGAGGAAGATCTCGGCGATTGAAGGTTTCTCAGAAGAACACAATTATAACTTTACTATTACAGTGCTTAGTGTGACAAGGGACGTAACCGTTGCTATACAAGGTAATCAATGCACCAATTTGTGTCCCTTTGATTTTCTTGTTAGTATATCGGTGGATTCAAAATGCAAGAGTATTTTCTGTATGATTTTTTTTTCATTTACCCAATTGCTGGACAATTGTAAGGAGGACAGCTGCTAAAAATATTTTTGGAAAAGAATTACCCGACAATTCAAATAGTAACATGAGAAGAGATGTGGAATTCTTCTACTTGCCGATTTCATGTTTACAAGTTTTTTTTTTATACAGATCTAGATGTACTTAATTTTTTTCTTCAGTTTGTGCTATTCTGTCCTCGTTTCTGGTGTTCTGTATTGGTCTACTGAATATCATCCACACACTTATTTCATACAGGTAAATATAGAGGTTCATGTAAATATACATGCTAATGTACATGTAACTTCTGGGCAATTTTTAAGATATTTTGAGTAAGATGAATTAAATGGAGGTAGATCACTACATAATAAGTTGATATAACTGGGTTTCTGCAATCTCTTTTAATTGAATATAGCATTTGGCAATATTAATTTAATCAATTCCTTTTCATGATCTTGTTTGCAAACGCAATCTATTCTTTGGTCGTAATTTGCAGGACATGTTTCATAACAATTTTTAGTCCATTGCTTTATGCTGATGTTGAATGATAATTTTATCGAATTACCGGTACTGTTTACGGTACCAATCAATGAACAGGGATCTGGGGATGCTGAATTCTCTTTGGCTCCTGATCTCCGTTGATAGACAAATTTTATTATGTTTGAATTTTAAGAATATGTTTATTTCCTTCGCTTTTATCTACAGCTGTTTTAACGAATAAACGTAATCTCAACGTGCACATAAATATTAAATGATGTTGAATTCCCGTCTTCCAAAATTTATACAATAATAATTTTAACTATTGCAAAAACACGATGGAATTATCATATACAGATCTAGAAATACACAAATTTCGAGTACACATACCCGTATTTTGATAATATTTTCCATTTTCGTTAATAGAGATAGTTTAATAGAGATATCAATAGAGATATAGTAAGACCGTTCTTCTTCAGGAAAATAAAACATTATAGAAACATGGATAAATTTTGAGTACATCATACCCGTATTCTGATATTATTGTCCTTATCAGAGATAATTTAACAGAAAAAAAAAAAGATTGTAAGATTGTTCCTCTACTGGAATATAAAAGCCTGGATAGAGATAAGGATGTATTTAACTTCAAACTACAGTAAATATACCCGTATTACTTTTTTTCCAGGTGGGAAGCATGCAGTTTGCAGGTTACCAAATAGGATTCGTTATTTTTGGTATGCTATTTTTAGCAATATATTAGCAAATTTAATGCATATTTTGTAAATAAACATGCAAATTTAAAATTATCTGTGCCTGGAAATTTTTAACCTTCCCCACTGGAACCGATGTACAAACTTTGGCATTTGTTTCTGCGTCAAATGATGATCAAATCCATGTTTAATGAATGAGAAACACACTAAGTAAAACTTTTAAATGACAATTCTCTTTACTTTTTAGCTTATGCCGTGCAGATTGTGATTTTGTTCTTCTCGTCCTTCGGAATAGCCTTGGTGTTCATCGTTATAAAGTACAACCGTGAAAGACCGATCCGAATAATTGTGGAAATGACATGGTACGATTAGTATCATCTGGCAATCTTTATAGCTAAGCTTTTAAAAATCTATTATTGACGGTATGCTGTAAATTGACTTTTATTTGCTTGCGAGAAAAATTGAAATTAGCGAGTGCCGCAATCTATACTTAAATTCGCGAATATTAAAAGCCGCGAACCTATTATGAAGAGAGCATCGTCCTTAACCACGGGTTTTGTGTATATTTCTATTTCTACAAATTTTCTATTCGTGTGATTATTTACTAAATTTACTGTTTCTTTTAACATTTGTTTACAGGCCTATGGTTGTTTTCTCGATACTAGTGCGACTTCTTCAGATCATTACTGCAAAATTTATTTTCCTTCAGGATAGAGGGAGAGTGATGGCGATTAGATATCGGTCAGTACATAAAAATCCTATTTTTATGAGAGGTGAAATATTTTTTGTACTTTGAAATATTTAAAAAAAACATATTTATACAACAGCAGCTTTAAAACGTTTAGACATCAACCTGGGAAATCTTGAGCCCCCCCCCCCCCCCCCAAGTCTTTCAAATCAATTATGATCCTGTCCCGAGTAGCTCACCTGGGCACATTTTTAAGTTGAAACAACATACATATGTACTATGTATTTTAATTTCATTTTTTCAGGCGGAGTTACCTTGTGTTTCTGTATTTTACTTTCATTTTGGATATTATAATTGGTACAATGCGCTGTCCGTATCGCCTTGTTAAAGCAATGATTCTCGGCTCTCTCACACTGTCAAGACTGGATCACAGCGCCCTCTCCCGGGAGTTCGAAACTTTAGATACTGGTTAGTTAAGTGGTCTGTTAAGAGCAACATATATTGCAATCGTTGGGCCATTTTCCCTCAATAGTTAATGAATCATATTTTATTCTAAAACAGGTTTCCGTGCTTATGTGGGATTTCTGCACTTTGAGAATATGACATCACATCCGGTTTTATTGACATTTGTCCGTCTGCTGCTAGCAAGACCTGGGGGATTCGAACCACCCCAAAAATTAAAAGCCAGCGTCAAAGCATCAGTGTCACATGGAGAGGTCGTCATATCTGAATTGGGTAAACATATCATTTGACGCAATGGAATAATTTAAAACCATAACCTCCGCCTCAATATTTTTTAAAGGCTATATAATGGTGGAATACTATATATTTGTTATACCTTTAAAAAATTGTTCCTATACAAATCCGTACAGAAAAAAGTCTAACATGTGTAATGTTTTGCTGAGCGGGCATGAAAAAATCGATGTTGGACCGCTGAGTGAGATGTTGGACCGCTCGGAGAGATATTGGACCGCTTACGTCACAGAATGGGCGGAGCTTAATCTCATTTTCATTCTTTGGTTTTAAACAGTTATAAATCTAATGTTACATTACGGAGTATAGTACAAAATACATGTATGTCAAAAAATATATAATAAAATGAAAGGTATAACAAAACATTTATTGACAGAGTTCTCCGGCAAAATGCGTTTTGTCGGACCCTCGAACCAAACTGTCTGCCTTCGGCCTAACGGCCTCAGGCAGACAGTTTGGTTTTTGGGTCCGACAAAACGCATGCTGCCCTCGAACTCAGTCAATAAATGTATATTAATGCATCAAAGAACCTTACTAATCAACCTGGAATAAATGATATTTTTTAATGTGTCTCTCATGGAAGACATATATAAATTTTGAGGATATCATGGGGAAAGTTATGAACTTACATTTACTCTCGACATTTTTACCCAAGCATTTTTGTTAAATTTCAGGGAGCGCATTTTGGAAGGATAATCAACTGACAAAGAGAGCCAGAGCACAACATCGCTGGCATTTGTTGTACACTCTACACAAAAATCCTCAGCTTCAGTTTCTACGAAGAAACTCATTTGATTGGTTAGAGGATTAAAGAAATACATAGTTACCGAGCAACCTAAAAATAAAAACTGAAAACTAGACATTGTGGGTTATGTTTTTTGTGATTTTCAAAGCGCCTTATACCTATGTTTTAAATAAATGATAAAATCAGTTAGATTTTTTCAGATAATTTCCGAATGATGCACATCATTATTTTATCAACAAAATAATTTAACTTGGTTGGATTAAATAAGTTGATATTAATTAAAATCTTACCTTCGTAATTTATTATTTATGTATTACTATCAGGATCGATGTTTCAACAATCATGTAGGTCCAGAATTTTGCACAAGAATAAATTATTTACAAAATTTTATCTATTGTAATGTAATACATTTTCAAGCAATATAATTGTGAGATTAACGATATAAAAAAGGCATATCTTTAAAATAGGAGCTCTGATTATATCTTCAAACGTCAGCTATTTAGTTTTTATCCCCAGAAGTGGATCTATGGATATTTTTAAACTTAACTATACAAAGAGGAAATTTTAGAAATCACGAATTTTAATGCACCAGCAGGGTCATATTGACTCAGGTGAGTGTTGTGGTCCATGGATTTCTTGTTTTATTTTATTAGAGAGGAAATGATTGAAGGTATTTAAAAAGAATACATGAGAAGCATCCCCCCCCCAAAAAAAACAGATTTAAATGGTGAAGTGACATTTGAGATTGTATCAGACGGAATAAAATGGCCAAAAAAATATCATTCGCTATTTATAAAATTATTAAAGAAATGGAATGTGATATGATTTCTGTCACAGGCACTTGTTTCGAATACGGGGTACACCCTACTCAACGTGGTACCCCCTACTTGAGTAGGGTGTACCCCATATACGAAACAAACAAGTTCCTGTGATTTTTGTTTATTAAGTATATTTTTTCCGTTCGTATCGTTTCTTTATATATTAATTTAGGTATTTTCTCGGCCAATCTGCCCATGATAAGAAACATTTACGTATACATTTGTTTTCGCTATATGCTTCCAGTAAACATTTCAACGAAAAGGAATACGACAATTATTTATAATTAATTATAATTATATGGTACACTTGTTTTAAAATTGAATAAATACACAATTATAAATCTTATTTAAAACTGAGTTTTTCCTCATAAAGTTGATAATTTCATAAAGAAATATGTCCTATAGAATGTTATAAAAGAATCATTTCATCATAAAGAGTTGTAGCTGCAGAACATATGACCAATAAAAAATCGTAAGGCTACAGTTTTGCAGATAAAAGAGTTGTGACGTAACAATGGTCACTATGACGTCATTGCATTGTCTTTCTCTATTAGAAGTATTTCTTTGCGAGTTGTGATAGTGAATTTTGTTTGAATAGTATTTCAAGCATTGAATCATGGCTTTCTATGTCTTCAACTGGACAAAGAGAGAATATATACTGGCAGTTTTGTCTTTGGTATTGCTGGTCATCACGGCCAAACACCAAGAGTACTTCTGCTGGTAAGTAAATTAAAACATACTTAGCCGGGGAAGGGGGGGGGGGGGGGGATTCTACATATTACTTATATATTGTATATCATAAACAAACGTATACTTTTAAGATGGGGACTGCCAGCGAGTTGACATTCACTTTTGTTTATTATATCAACAATATATATATTTCATATTAAGTAATCATTTTATTTCTTTCGTTTAAATTTGATTATTAATTATTTTTCTTTTAACTTCATGTATTGTTAAATCGTTATGCAGCAAGGAAAAGCCGCTGAGTAATTTTGAGAAGTTTGGGATTTGGCTTGGTTTGGTGGAGGAGCCAAAACCATGTCCAGGGGAGGAAGAGCTCATTTCTGTGAGTATAGGTTTTATACAATAACGACTGGAAATAAGCTCATTAAATAATTAAGTCGTGACATTTTATATATACATACCACATTAAAAGAATAATGATGCATAGTGATTATCTATAATTGAATAAATTAAATTGTCTTACAGATATTTGATGCTATTTCAAATACTGAGTATTTTACTCTAAATTTTATTACGAGCCCTTACAAGTTACAAGCAAAACTTTAGAACTTAGCATTATGTTGCTATATATTAGTCTTTGACCAAATGATATTAGCATACGCGAATCTATAGAGGGGAGGGGGTCGGGGTCCGGACCTCCCTTTCTGGAATTTGCAGAGATACCCGGTATTTATATATTTAACCAAGTAAGTGATATTACATCCTCACCCCCAGAGAACGGTCACCTCCAAAAACACGGATCTATTGTAATATTGGTATGAAAACATCAGTATGAAGCTTTGAAAGTCATCCTCTAACCCCCCCCCCCCCCCCCTTCCCCACGAAATAGATTTTTAACGATTGGGAAATATTATAAATTTATGGGTTGGTTTTTAGACACCCCCCCTGTTAAAAAAATTAGATCCGCTCCTGTATTATGGTCAAAGACTAATATATAAAACCATATCACTACAGTTCTGCAACAATCATTAAAGGAGTCAAGCAATGAGCCCACCCAAAGTAAATCCCTGAGTCTGCTAACGTTATAATTTCTTTCTACAAATTTTAAGAGAAAAAAAAATTACACCGAATTTTCTATTTTGATAAAATTTGTGGGAACACAGTTAACTCAAAGGGCATCAACCATCCTACCCTGATTCATTTAACATTACTATTTTCTATACAACTTTTTTCTTTCATTTTGATCAATTCTGGATTCGAGTCTTTTAGTGCCACATGTCGAATTAAGCACAAAAGCTTAACTTTAAAAGTCAATTTGAGGTTATTTCATGGAACTAAGATTTTTTTTTCTCATTTTTTCTATAGATGGCAATAGAGATGGGCGTTGCCAGTGCGGCTGTGCTGGCAAGTACAGGCATACCCAAATTGTGGAACTGGTCCAAGATGGGCGTTGCCAGTGCGGCTGCACTGGCAAGTACAGGCATATCCGAATTGTGGAACCGGTCCACATCTATTCTGGGTCACGTTGGACAGGCAGTGAAGAGAGGATTCCAGTATCTGAAAGGTATAGGCAAGATAGCCGAAGTTTGATTCAGTGTGGACTCTTTTTAAGAAATAAAAATTTACACGCAATTTTTAAAATATTTTTTTCTTGTTCATTGAAGATCGTGTACCATTTAGAAAGGCTACCAACCACAATCCCGATGAGTCACCTCCGAAATACAAGTATTTCTTGTGAGTATATCCAAACACTCGTTTTAAATAAAAATTAATTTGATGATATTCGCCACAAACCAGTGGAGTAATTAATTGAATTTAATTTTTTTCCTACCATAGTTTCCGGAACGCCTATGAACAAAGGAAAATCCTAATGGTTGCTAGAGAGGGAGAAGTCTATGAACAGATATTTGTCTACTCTCCCGAAAAGAAGAAGATGGAATGTGTGATGTGCTATCCCAAAGGGCTTATCTAATTAACAGAGTCCAATTATATCAGTGTAGTATTGCCATTTTAAAGAAGTCTGTTTAAATAATTGTCTTCATGTTAACAGTTTAGAGAAGTTTGTTAATATCTAGTTTTTATCTATTTACACCATAAAGATAAGCTCATACTAAATCTTAAATATAATATTAGAAGAATATTATATAATTATTTATATCAGTGTAATAATATTGTCATTTTAAAGAAGTATATTTAAATATTTATCTTCATGTTAACTGTTAAGAGATGTTTTTGTTATCTAGCTTTATCTATTTACACCATAAAGATAAGCTGATACTAAAAATTGAATATAATATTAGGACAAAATTATTCATATTTTAAAGAAGTATATGTATACATAGATTATCACATTAACTGCAAGTTAACAGATGTTTGTTATCTAGTTTTTATATATCAACATCATAAAGCAAAGTTGTTACTAAAAGCTGAAAATAATGTTGGAAGAATAAAATTGAGTACATGAATAAAACTTGGTTTTTATTTTTAAAATTACTGTTAATGCATATGGCACAAATTAAAGAAATATTATATATGGCTATCTGCAAGGTGTTGGAAAAAAACACTAAAAGTGCCAGACATACTTTTATCCAAAAAAAAATAAATCAGTTTGAATGCAAACTTCTAGTATGCATCTACTCTGTTTGGAATATTTTGGGGGCAAGTTTCAACCTAATTCTCCTATATTTCCACAAAGCTTGATCATGAAAGTCCATTGCTGTGATAAAAAAAATATATATATACATATATCGTATATAAACCATTTGTTATAACATAATTTCAATTTCACAAGCTCGGTCATTTTGGAACCTGATATGGATTGCTAAGAATACCTTTTGCCATTCTTAATAATTTAGTCTTCCACAATATTTTGGCAAGCATATCTATGCTTTGTCCATATAGAGAGATGCAGAAAATTCAGGTCTGAGTTATGTTATCTGCACAGCTGAGGCAGATTATAGTTAGTCAGTTGCTGAGTGGCCTCATTAATACATCAGTATGCTTAAAGTCAACAGTACATTCAAGTAATTTATCAAAGAAATCTAAACAGAGCTTCAATAAGTACAATATACATGTAAACATATTTTCATCATGAAATCACAGATTTTAGTTATATGTACAATGAAAAAAATACCATGTACATCTCACTTTGGAAATCCGAGATTTTTTTTTACAATATGCTCATTAGCATATAACATTTCACTGGAAATCTGATATTTCTTTCCAATAATCCTTTGTCCATATCCTAATTCTATTGTTTGTTTTCCGTTTTCTTTCGGATCATCTCCTTGAACTGTGTGAGGATTTTCTTCTCTTTCTTGGACCTCTCTTCGTGGTTGAAGTTGGCCAACGCTCGCTTCTCGTCTGCGCTGTAGATCTGGTTCTCTTTTCTCAGACGGACAGCCTCCATACGACGATGTCTGGAATATGACAAGGAGGAAATGTACACCAAAATTTTGAAAGAGATCAACTTCAATTAAATCACTCTCAGATAGTAATACTGTAAGTTATTTTTCAATATGTGGCAAATTTAAAGCAAACTGAATTATTGTTCTTTTATGGATAAAATAACACATTTTAGCATATTACACAATTAAATTTCTAAATTACTTTTCATGGCAAGCAATATCAAAAAAAAAGCATTGAAACTCTTCTATGTAGGAGATAAGAAAATTTGTGGTATGTTACCTTAATTACAACTATGTTTTGGGTAAATTTAAAACGCATGCAAATTGTTTTTGAGTATATAGAGCACCACAGAGTGAAAATAACTCTGCATTTAGTACAAACTAAGTGAACTAAAATTGATGATTTAAACTGACCTGCTGCCGCTCATGACGTATCCAGATTGCTCAAAGCTGGCTATCTCATCGCTGGTCAGTCCGATTTCTCCTCTCCTGGGGATTCTTTTTCCCTCGGCGATATACGCAGCCATAGCAGCACCCTCACCAGGCAGCAAGGCTTTACCATAGCTGATTAAAACAAGGTAATACATTTAATGCATGTATATGTATTTGATTTTATTCTTGTTATTAATAAATGAGGTGAAATTACAAGTACATGTACAGACCAGTACTACCAGTATTGTTGAAGTACAAGAAAAAGATTTTTTTTTTATCTTTTATAATTTTTTTTTCCTTTTATTTATATCAACATGTTTATTTGCAAAAATGGGATTCAAGCTTTGCTTCTCTTTATAAATTTGATTTTCTTCCCAACAATAAACAAGATTTACACAATAAACTTACAGTAAAACTGATGATTGTTCTTTGTTACTGGTAATTAATATTTTGGAGACAAAGGACAAGATAGGGTAACAGCCGAATTTTTGATATAAAAATCAGAACACTGGTAAAACTGTGATAGTTTGTAGTTAAAAAGTTAAAATGATGCTTACTTTAAGACAAGCACCAATTTTGATTCAAAGCTTACATGGAAGCCACTAGAGGGTTCAGAAATAGGACATTTTCCCGAATTTCCTCAATTCTGGTGGATTTTCATCATATTTGGGGTACATTTCTCTTCGGAAAACATAGAGCACACGCTTGCCTATCTGAGATTTTTACACATATACTGCATCTGATATCAGTGTATAAAATATATAAATTTGGTAGATAAGCAAGCGTGTGCTCTATGTTTTCAGAAAGAAAATGTGCTGTAAAATTAGTGAAAATTTGCATAAAAAATGAGAAATTTCGAAAATTGACCTATTTCCTGACCTCACTGTGACCTCTGTATATCCTAAATCTTAAAACCAGCACTCATTTTGAGGCAGGGGTGAAAACAGGTTTTCATGGATAAACTGTTGGATCATTCTGAAACACCCCCAAAACCGGGGGCCAAATACTGGTCTTACCCTATCTTGTCCTTTGTGTCAGAATACACAGGGTGTCAGATTTCAGAGTTCAAAGAACATGGAAAAAATAGTAAAAAAAAAAGGGGGGGGGGGTCTGAATTCACAGGGAAACAGATTTGATAGCTTTGGAATTAGACAGTGTATATTGTACTTACTCCATCCTTGCGACAGTGTTCTCTGGTTGGTATGGCTGTGGACCCACTACATCCTCCTCTTCCACTGTCTCCACTGAAAAAATAAAGAAAATCATTCCTCTAAACTCATTTCTCAACAAAGAAAACTTTCTTAGCTAAATTTAGTTTTTACCAGGAGTTACTTGCATTACCTTTTTTCTCAAGCCACATTTCTTCTTCACTCTCCGACTCACTGGCACTCGAGTCTGTCTCTTTTTTCTTCCTTTTCTTAGATTTCTTTTTCTTGTTCTTCTTACTGTGTAAATATAAGGGGAAAGTGGTTACAACGGCCTTATTATTGAGCACCCGTATGAAAATGAATATTAAGTCAGCAGTGAACACAAAGTGAAAATTGCTATTTAGTGAATCTAGATTTCAACTCTTCTAGCAGTTCCTTCTCTGGAAATCTTGGCAAATAAAAATCATTCAATGCTAACCAGTTTCTGTTCATATATCACTTACTTATTTGCTTGGTTCTTGTAAACTTATAATTGTGAAAAAAATATGGTAAATATGCTTGTTTAATTGAAAAAAACCAAACAAACAAAAAACAACAGATAATTCTATGAGAAGGTTTTCATGTTCTAATTCTCGACTAATGATTTGCGGAATAATATATACATGTACTCACTTCTTAGCACTTTTCTTCTTGTGTTTTTTCTCTTTCTTCTTTTTCTTTTTGTTTCTTTTCTTTTTGTCCTCTAAAGGCAAAGTAAAAATAAATAAATAAATAAAAAATAAATAAACAACCCCCCTCCTGTTTCTTATACCAATAACAACTTCTTCTTCATAGGCTTAGGCCTTTATCTGACTTTAACATTGAATAGTAACTTACAATTGTGTGTGTTTTTCTTCCTAAAAGCATTAGTATTGTTTACTGCAAACATCTGACAAGCATACTTGTTTTACAGACTCTTATGAATTGTTACCTGAAGAAGAACCACTGGCAGCTGACTTGTCACTGTCTGATTCCGATCTGAAAACAGGAGTAACAAAGTTATACTACATGTAATACACAAATAAAAACAATGCCTTCTCTGTCAAGCATACTTGTATAAACTGTTTATTGCTAACACAACAGCATTAACAACCATATTTTTTTTTTGGGGGGGGGGTGTTTTGTTTTTTTATTTTTGAGAAAAAAATATGACTTTAATATTAGTCTATTCTAATCACTCTAGAATATGTGTTTATACTTTAACTTGAATTAGGGACTATAGTTCCCTGGTGTTTTTGTCATTATTGCAAAGCAAAGAAAACAGATACAAAATAATTTTGTTTATCAAATCCATGTTTCTTTTCAAAATTGTAAAATTAGAGTGTCTATCGGTATCCTATTTTTCACTTACTCTGAGTCTGAAATAGTGGCATGTGTGGGTGACTGGCCCCAACATTCAAAGATTCCCATCTCCCCTATTCTTTCTCTTTCTTCTCGCCGTCTAAAGAGCAACAACGTAAAAATAAATGGTCAGCATATAAGCACTATATACAATTCAATATATAGATAAAAGACTCTGAAGAAACCCAGTTCATGTTTAAAATGAAAATAATTCTTCATGAATAATGAATCAACATTTGTGCAGGAAAATAATTTAAACAATGATGTCTGAAATGTGTATCCCTTCAACTGAAATTATCCAATAGTCCTTCTTCAGTTACCTGTCAAAAAAGTCGGGGAGCATGCCATTATGACCTCTGTTGTAGCGCCCCGTTCTACCATGACTGTGAAAATGATGTGATCTGTCACTATTCCCCTCCTCTCTGTTGAATCTCCTTGGAGATGACCTATCATCATGTCCATACATATCCCCTCTGGATGAAGATGGTTCAAAAATAGGTGACCTTGACCTGTACCTCTGAGGTGACTTAGCTGAACGTTTGTCTGAGTGTAAATAACCATTAGAATTCCTTCCCCTTTCAGGTGATCTAGATTTCTGGCGCCTCTTTCTATCAAACGACCTTGACCTTGAACGTCTTTTCCTTTCAGGTGAACTTGACCTAGAACGTGAATTCCTTTTTCTCTCATATGACCTTGACCGAGAACGTCTTTTTCTATCAAATGATCTTGATCTTGAACGTCTATTCCTCTGACTGTTCTTAGATTTCTTTTGTTGTCTGTCTCGTGACCTTGACCTTTTTCTATCGCGTGAACTGTCATCAGAGGAATCACTGCCAGAGTATGAAGCTTTCCTTCTTCTGACGTCAGGGCTGGAACTGTATCTCCCCATTTCTAGTGGTTTAAACACCTGACTTTACGCCTGAAATGACAGAAAATCTTACTTGCTTTTGTGTTCTCTGTATAAGGGGGATCGGCTTGCTACCTAAGAGCGACTGTTGATGCTTGCAAAGCAAGCTCAATTGACTATGGTGTAAGAACAGAGGAAATTTAGATTGAAATCTGTACATACGTCAGGCAATTTTATGTGTGAAACATTCCCAGAATTCCTTTGCTACCCAATACCCTTTGCACAAATAAATAAATAATATCATGAAGCATAAAAGGCTTTTAGTTTGTAGAAACAAAGTATAACTCTGCAATGTCTTTCGACAAAAATTGCACTAATTTCAACTAGACGCTGTTTCCGTAAACCCTGAGAAGCTCTTGTGTGACATCACAGTCTAGAAGCCTCGTGCGACTTGACATTTGAAGTGGTGGATCAATGTTTCAGGTGTATTTTTAAAGGTACAACTGCGTTCACCCCAGCAGTCACATTGTAAAACATATTAAGTCATGTATCTTTTTTGAGAGGGCCCATTCCCAATTTGATAAAAGTATCTTTCTTCAATCTGAGAGTGTTGTTTAGTGATGAAACGATTGTCGCCGACGATCGATTGTCGATCGTTTTTGGGTGTTCGATTCCGATTATCGATTACCTTTTTCATAATCGATTGTCGCCCAAATAAATTCACCCAAATAAACTTGTATGATTTGAACGAAACTAATACATACACATTTACAATACATGTAAAACCAAAGGAAGTCAACAAAAATGGCGTCCGAAGGCAAAGTTAACAACAATCAAGTAGAAATTTACACATATCCAGGGAATGCATTATAGAACATTCATCGTTAAAATGATATTTTCCTATGGACCCGGTTTAACGATAGAATTCGTTCCGTGTATTCGTATAATGTAGCAAAAGAAGCACGGGCAATAAATCATACTCAGTGCATTTACTACGGACAATCTAAAGAGTTCCGAATGTAAACATAGCAGGTAAATTTGAAGCGAGAGAAAATCGTTGAGAACATTAATTGGATTTACATCTTTATATGGATTACATTTTGGGATAAAATGCATAAGCAATCTCCAAAAAGATTATTTTGATTTATTTGGAAGTTATTTCCAGTGCACATCCTTTTATAATCTTCAAAATCGTGTCGGAGCGTATCCGCTCCAATTTTCTACATTGCAAGTATATGGGACGTATTCTAACTGTGGTGAGGGCTTGTACCGAGACACAGTTAGATTATTCCAACTTGGGAATGCAAAATCTGATGTCATGACAAACATTATTAGTTTTATGAGCAAATAAGTAAAAAAAGAAAAAAAATCTGTTTCTTTGTTACTTAAACATCAAAAAAGTTGTCTTTAGAATAAACTTGATAAAATTTTATTTTTAGTTTGTTCCATAAATGATAAATGCAGTAAAGAAATAGAATTTTGTATTTGAAATTTGAATTACCAATAAGTCGATGATTGATCGATTAAGCTTCTCCGATTTTGACCGATTATCGATTATGAAAATTTCCCGATTATTCAACACTAGTGTTGTTGTAAATATTTTCGATATTAAACATGCATCTAACTATATGGATATATTATATCTACTTATGTTTCAGCATAAAGACAGATTTTCACAATTAACAAACAACAGAAAACACAAAATATGATTTTTACAAAATTCACTTCTCCCTCTAGTAGATCCGTCCTAAAAATAGAAGGAGTCATACACTGTAATGGATGTAATCTTCACAACCGTAATCTATAGTTCTAAATCTGTAAATATACATATGAAATACTTACTTGATTTACAGTACAATTACTGAATTAGTCAATTTTACAAAACGTTTTTCACAAGAACTGAAACAGGAAATTGATACCGAAACCTAAAAAAGGTATATTATAAGAAGGAAATAACAAACCCGGATTTATGACGATGTTTTTCCACCTCGCCAGTCGGGTGATTAGGTACGACATTTTACTTTTCAGATGAACATACAATGGAAAGAATTTGTCGTTTACGACGGTGTATTCGCATTATATAGGCAGTGAAAATTGGAATTTACCTTTTTTGTTGCCCCCCCCCCCCCCACTTTCTACTAGCCCCCTCCCCCTTTTCAATTTGCTTCCGACGCCCATGGCATTTGAAATGTCTGATCAATGATCCTTCTGAATCCATGCTTGGATGTCACGAGTCTCATATAAAAAAGACAATTAAGATAGGGTAAGACCCTATTCTCTTTAGGGAAGTGGACAGGCTTGACATCCATCAGTCCATGTAGGAAAGCCTGTCCACTTCTCTAAAGAGAATAGGTAAGACCACATGTTGGCCCCTGGTTTGGGTGTCTTTTACTATTATAATATTTGGGTTTAGAATATAGTCTCCTTTAGTATTTCCTAGGGTAATGTATCTACGTTGAGTAAGTGTAAAGTTAACTCTTAGAATCACTGGAGGAGTGGAGTTTGGGACCCCCCTCCCCCTCCGTGTTCTGTACCCAAAAGTAAAACAGTTTTAGTGTAAGAGAGGTTTTTTTAAGTAAAAGAAGGCTAGTTTTAACTTAAATCTAATTGTGGATTTTTCACTAGTAATACTTTGTGGATATTTCAGAGAAAAAAAAATTATTTCTAAAAGGTCAAAACCCCTTTGGGTACATAACGCGGGGTTGTGGTTTTGGGTGGTGTCTTTTCTCCAATTACCTGGGTTGTGAATGAGATAAAAGTTGTTGGAATACCTTTATTTTTTCCACACATTTTTTAAGCGATCCAAAGGCCTGTGGTATACATGTGTGATATGTTCCATCCCAATGTAGAAGCATAATTGAAAGTTCTTTTTTTTCATTCAGGTTTTTGTTTTAGAATGTTGACACCTAAAGTAGCAAGAACCAACACTGAACGTTCCGTCAATTTCAATAATGCAAAAGTTACTGGTTGAGTTGAGTTTAAAATGCCATTTCATTTGGTGCTTTGTTGTTGCTTGAAGTAGGCTCTGTTTCATTTTCTTTTCATAGTTTTATTTAACATTCCTAGCTGGCACCGGATCTGGCACTAGTCATGCTAGTAGCGCTATTTGAGGTATTACGTCAATACTTCCGGTGCGCTTTTAATCAATGGCTGTCCCGTTTCTACAATGATACTTCGTATATTTAGTAAAAACTAGTATAATTTATACTAAAAAAAATAGGGGATAATGAATTGGGAAAGACAATGAAATGCAGATCCTGAGGTCAGGAAGGAAAGAAATGACGGAAAAACATTAATTAACGACGTTCGATCCTGATATATAAAGTCCTAAACTTTTTTTTTCCCAAGTATATTTTTAGTTTCTAAATACATAGCTTAACTAAAATTCAAATAAAAAAAATGGGGGTCAATACGCTTGATTCTTTTGGCTCTTAAATACATTTAATATGACCTTTTTGCACTGAAATTTGTGTCTTAAATTAAAATTTTATTTTTGACTTTTTTACTCCAATATTTTTATTCAATTAAAGCATGAAACAATATGAACTCTAAGTTTGTTTTAAAAAAGACACTTAAAATTTGTGACTAAGAAAAGGTTTTAAATTGCTTCGCATAATCAATTATTTGACCTTTCTCATACATGTTAACTCTCCCGATTTAGGCGGGAGTCTACCGCTTTTTCACTCCATCTCCCGCCTACCGATTTAATTCAGAAATCTACCGCTTTTCTACAAAAGCTGCGTCTAAAGTATTTTTGGTTCGCTTGGGTATCCATTTTTGAAGCCACTCTCATAAAATCTCGCTAGATATCGCGTGATTTGACTCGGAATCATACAAACGCTTTTTTTGTACATAGATTTCAAGCACGGATTTGACAACGACAACAACATAAGACTACCGACTACCAGTGATTACATTGGTTACGATAAATAATCAACATCCCTGCCGTGAAAAAGGAGATACAGCTTTTAAGAATTAGATGAAAACATTTGACATCGTCTTTAAAAGCACAGAAGCTCACAACTTTATCAATAAAGTCAATAGAAATCACTCGATTGACCAAGCCATGTGCCACATCTCTACTTTCGTTTTCGATCATCGCGGGAAATCTGATTTATATAACGAAAGATACGAACTTGTTTTAGATCTAGATTAAACCATGCCATCATTTGTTTTGTTTAAAAACTGAATGAACATTCAGAATTATTGCTTCTAGGCTATTTCAGCAAAGATCACTCTTCAAAAGGCTAAGTAAAGCAGCCAATCCAAGCAAAATGATGAGCATGAAAAATATTTGAATTTGTACAATTTATGTCAAACTTAAGGTGTTTCTGTCTTCTTCTTTGCTGTTGATATTTAAGATTTATAAGTGTAGGTACCTGATTTCATTTAAGGCTTATAATATACATGTATATTACATGAAAATATCGATAATCCAAGCGTTAAACAACACGCGCTCAATGCTACCGCTTTTGAGGTCTGAATCTCCCTCTTTCTCATCACAATAGGTTAACATGTATGCCTTTCTGCACTAATAAAAAGTGATTTTCTGGCATTGAAAATTAAATAAGCAAAATATTATTTTAAAGTCTTAAACTTTTTCTGATTTTAAGCAAATAGGCTAAATTTATCTTGAATATTTGTAAAAGAACATCAAAAGTGGGGGTATATTAATGTAAATTTTCAGATTTTACGAAAAAAGTGTCAATTTTACGTTAAAATTTTTTTTCCGGATTTTCAGAATATATTTACCATATTTGTCACACTTTGTTGATAGAATTCATAAGATATAATCTAATAGATTTTTAAGAGCCAGCATAACATATTTAACTGCAAAAAACAGCTTTTTGTGCAGCCAGGATGGAAAAATAGGAATCCAAAATTAACAGTACTGTTATAGTTCAAAATGGAAAAACTGATCATTTTTGTCTAAAAAACCTTCCGCCACAAAATATAGTCCCTAGCTTAATTCTCTCTCTCTCTCTCCACTCACTACCTCGATCCCTCTCTCCACTCACTCCCCCTCTCACCACTCACTCCCCTCTGTCTCTCCACTCAATAGCTCCCTCT